AGAGAGAGAGAGAGAGAGAGAGAGAGAGAGAGAGAGAGAGAGAGAGAGAGAGAGAGAGAGAGAGAAAAGAGATAACAAAGGGTCCCCTTCACGTCAATTCCAGGGCCTTGCAGGTACCTCGAATGACTCCTACGTTACATGCGGAGTCATCGAGGACCACTGCTTCAATTAGGAGGATGGTCTTGTTATCTGTGGAAGAGGTGGGGAAGACCACCAATATATGCTTCGGATTCGAGTTCAAGGCTGTAGCTCGGGAGTTATGGGTCACCAATTCAACTAGAGCCTGTTCGTGTCTCCACGTGATTCTCAGGGCCTCTCTCCACCGCTCACCAAATGTATACAATATTAGTAGAATGAATCTTCTGCTAAAACATGGAACCATGCACCGCCTTATTCTCTGTCTTTTGTGCATGTGGTGAGTAGTGGAGCAGACCCCACTGTACGTATTCGTAAGAAAACAAAAACAAAAAAACGAGAGCTCCCTCCACCACTCACCAAATGTATACAATTGCAACGACTTGCTGATTTCTGCTGCCGAAATTAACAGCGAGGCTGTACACTAACCCGGTAGGTTAGATTTGTAATTTTGTTTGGCTGACTGCTAACCGAGAGACCTGCCTGTAGGGAAATTCTTGAGGGACAGATCTGTAAATCTGGGAAAATATAGGCCCAGTACTAACCTGAATTCCTACAGCTACCCTAACTGCTGATAGCAGGCCCGGGCTACCCCTAGGACAGACAAGCCCTAAGCGGCCTATGCTGCTAGACGGTCCTATAGCCTATAGCCGGGTCCGATAGAGGCCGAGAGGCCAAAATAGCAACGGTACCGGTCGGTCAGTCTGTCCGGTCTAAGTCCTAGTAGTCTATAGATAGGTTAGGCCCATCGGCTCAGGACTTTTGGCAGTTTATTTCTCGCGAACAGCGTTGGAGAAGCCAAGCAAGTTGGTGGCGGTACCTGTCTACCGGCGGCATCCTGAGACAGACCGCAACAGCGGCCATAGCCGGCCCTCTCTGAGCTTGCCACAGTTGGGGCACCCTCAGCGCATCTACCCCTGGGGGTATCTGCGTATGGCCGGGCTACGTTGAGGCTCTTCACTGAGTGGTTCGTGGGTGGTGGCAGCCATAGCTGCCTGTTCCTTCGCCAGAGTTGTCCATCGACATTGAAGACTTCATCGCAGGACCTGTTCTTCATTAGGGTGGTTGGCGCTGGCCTCTGAGAGGCTGTTCAGATGCAGCGCTACTAACTGGGTGTAGGATAGAGAGTGGGGTGTGAGTTCTGAGTGTGGCGAGATACTGGAACAAACTCTGTTACGATAATTGTGTGAGTGGTTCAGCATCAGTGACAGTTTCAATTGTGATCTTCGCAGGTTCTTTCTTGTGATTGGTTGTTGGGAGTTGTGTCAGAGAGCGAGAAACACTGTGTGTCTTCTCCCTTGCTGTGCATAATTGTCTTCCGCTGTTTATCTTCACGTGTGTGCACTCTGTCTCCTCTCTCACCATCTCTTGTGCATGTATGGGCATGTATGAGACTGTCTGTGTGTGAGTGGCGAGAAAATTCGCCAAACAACCAAGATCATAACAGTTGGTATCGGAGCGAGATTGGAATTGGAGCACTGAGGGTTGAGCGCACTGAGGCATCTTCTTCATCCTAGCAATATACCGGCGAGAGCTTCATGGCGATTCATCTTCCCCAGTACTGAGTCAGCAGGGAAGAAGACTTTCAGCGGTAAATTCAAGTGTTCGGTGGCTGTACTGAACGAGCGCACTGAGCCTGTCAGGGCGCTTGGCAAGAAGAGGCGAGTACAGGGCTAATTCGCCATAGCCAACCCTGAGGGTGATATAGCGAATGACCCAAGAGTGGCGAATTACCCCTGAGGACATCAGGGAACCCTGAGCGACATCATCTCTGGGTGGCGCTGATAGAGATTGATGCAGGATATCAATCTCCAGGAGGNCATCATCTCTGGGTGGCGCTGATAGAGATTGATGCAGGATATCAATCTCCAGGAGGAATAACCCCATCTGGGGCTATTTTTAGCATCAGCGGCTACCTGGCACTATGGCGAGATATTTTGGAGTTCGCGAGTTGGGTGCCACAGGACCAGATACAGGGTATCTGGAGTGAAGGGGTGCAGCGCCACAGGATCCTAAAGAGTATCAACAATTTTGAGGAGGTTCTGTGCGTGGTATTGTCTGGGAGAAGCTCTGGAGGAAATTGGCGAGATAAGGGTTTCATCTGCCATAGCCAAATCTTCATCATCACCTGCAAGATTCTCTGCAAGTGAGTCCGTTCCATACACCTACCTGAATTGCGGCAGTAGATTAGTGAAAGATTATGGCCTATCTGCCTGTCAGTGCCTGGATATGAAAATCGCAGACTGCATGACAGCCATAGCCATCTCTCTCCCTACCTCTCTCTGCTCATATCTCATTATCTGTTGACTCTTTCTAGTCCAAACTTGTCCTGCGACAGCTATACTGTATTGCGATTGTTCTGGGATGATCAAACGGTGAATTCTGTACAGGAAAAGTAGTGATACTGGGAATTGTTGTTTTGCGCCGAGTCTATTTTTAGCATGTGCTACCTAGGGTCAGTCATAACTTCAATTTTGTCCGTCAGAATTCAGTTTTGTCAGTCCCCAGTGAATCGCAATCTGAAAACAGTCAGTACTGTCAAATCGCAGAGTTGGATTTCTAGTATTTCACTGGATACAGTGAAATCTGTGATTCGCCATACCCTAGGGTATGGCCTCCAGAGTCATCAGTGTCTGAAATTGAGTCTGAGTCAGGACATCGGGTATCTGTCTACATTGCTTGTTGTGATGGATCTCTCTGTGTCTGTACTAACCATTTCCATCATTCCCACTGATTACACTTGTTTCTAGTGGGCACTGGAATTTCTAGTGGGTCTTTGGAAAACTAGTGGAGTGACTGTGTGACTTCCAGTGTGGTCCAGGGTTAGTAAAAGGAAATCGTGTGACTGATTTTGCTGGACTGACAGTCTATCTGACACCTGACCCCAGAGACGCCCTTCTAACCCCAAACCGTTGATTGCCTACTCACCCACCTACTCCAGTGTTGAGTGCTACAGCGATTCCAGAGTATCTGCAGGAATCTGCATATCGCTGCAATTCTTCTGCTGTTATTTTATTTTTGGTTTTTATTTGAACTGGGAAAATGTCGGATCAGGGGAATGAGCAGCAGCCACATGTAGAGGTTGTGGTGAAGGCAGAAGGTGAACAGCCTTCTTCCTCCACTACTTCCCCTCCACCTCTGACTGCTACTCAGCGGCTGAAGAAGGAGGCAGAAGAACAACTCAGACTGCAACAGGCCAGAGTGGCTGAATTGGAACGGCTGGAGGCTGCTGAGCTAGAGGCTGCAACAGATCACTCCAGAAGGGAGTATCTGTTGCAGCAGCTAGACAAGTCTCTTGCTGATGATCGATGCTCCCAGGTCACCAAGCACATGGCTGAGATGATCCTGCTGGAGCACAAGATCACCAGCTCCCAGTTCACAAACTGGGATGATCGTTTTGTGCGGCTGGAGCGTCGGGTTGACGAGCTGTCAACTCAGCAGTCCAAGATCCTGGACTCTATCCAGACCTTGTCTGCTCAGCTGGCAGCCGCCAAGCTGATTACTCCTCAGCTCCCTCTGTTGAAACCCAAAACCTCTCCTCCTCCTTCACCACCTCCTTCCCCTCCTACATCTCATGGGGGATCTGTACATTCTTCCCGGTCATCTACTCCTTCCCAAAAGGCCTCAACAAAGGCCACCTATGCTGCTGTGACTGCAGCAGACAGAGGTCCCAAGATCCTTGCTCCCAACAAGTTCAGGGGCGATGACCCCAAGACTGATGTTGGGGACTGGGCTGCTGGGACCAGAGCCTACTTGAGGGGCTTTGTCTGTGCAGAACAGACCAAGGTGGCGACTGTTTTGGGGCGGCTGGAAGGGCCTGCATTGAAGTGGGCCACCTCAACTTCCAGCAGTCTGCAACAATCCATGGAGGACTGGGCCTTTGGGTTAGGGGTAGACGAACTTATGCAGGCCCTGGAGGACCGGTTTGCAGACAAGGAGCGGGCCCGCAAGGCTGCTGACAGGATTGCTCGCCTGGGACAGCAGCGGTACAGCGGCACCCTACAGGCCTTGTTTGCTGAGTTCGAGCAGCTCACCTCCACCCCTGGACTGGTCATGGCACCTGATGATATGCTGACCAGTTTTTGCAGGGCAGCGCCTGAGAAGTTTGTTGTTGCACTCTACAGCGCTGGGTATAAGGACTGGAGGTCCTTTGGTCGTGCAGCCCTGGAAATGGAGGCTAAGCTCCATGTCCAGGCCCCAACCTCTGACAGGAGGAAGGGTGCCTTCCCTAGAGGCAACAGAAGGGGAAAGGCAGCCCTTACTCATGTGGGATCTGCCTCAGGATCAGATACCGATTCACAGCCTGATGTGCCTTTAGGTGGGACCGGATCTGCTGCTGAGACAGATGTTGCAGCAGTAGTGACTCAGGTTGTGTTGGGAGCTCTGCAAGCGCAAAAAAAGTATTCCCCCTCCACAGCGTCAGCCTCTACTAAGGGGAAGGATAAGGGACGTCGTCCGTCCTCTTCCCAACGCCCTAATCTGCCTAGAGACGTCCGCATGCCAGCTGACCCTCTCAATCCCTTCTCGCTCCCCTGGCATGACCTCAAGATCCAGGAGGGAGTCTAGAGAAGAAGAAAGGAGAAGGGGGTCTGCCTGAGATGTGAGGGACAACACTTCTTAAAGGACTGTCCTTACATGCCAGGCCCGGGTCAGTCAAAAAACTGAAACAGACCCTGGGGACTGCAGTTCCCTCCAGTGCTGCATCTTCATCTATTCAGGTAGGTGAATCTGCAGCTGTTTCAGCTGAGACTGTTGGTGACGATATGTGTTTGGGGACTGTGCGGGCAGCATCCTTCTGCTATGAGGATCTTGACCCGGATCAGGACCCGGGGCAGGATGAGCTTCAGTCCATTGCTGCCTTCTTCTTCCACTTGAGAGAGAAGAAGAAGAAGGGCCTGTCTGAACTCATCATGCTTCGGCCACTGATCAACCGCACCAGGATCACTGGGCTTTTGGACTGTGGAGCCACCCGGAACTTCATATCTCCCAGTGCAGTCAAAAAACTGCATCTGGGTATGAAAGTTCAGCAGCTGCAGCAGCCGCTGCAGGTGCGGATTGGTGACTCTACAGTGATCAGCATCAGGGAGAAAGTCAAAGGCATTCCTGTGACCTTTGACACTGCTGGGAAAGTCAGACACAGTCTGAACTTTTATGTCTTCCCTGAGCTGCCCTTTGAGTTGGTGTTCTCCATGCAGTGGTTGAGGGTTGTCAACCCTAGGATCGACTGGCAGATTCCTAGAGTTGAGCTACCAGACCGCCAGGGTGTGTATCAGCAGTGCATGATTGCTGCTGAACATCACCCTAAGACCTCCTGCTACTGCCTGAGAGCGAGGGAGTTCCATGCTCTCTCTCGCCAGTACCACCATGACGTCTGTTCATTGCTTTGGTCAAGCAAACAGATGTTCCCCCTGTTTCCTGTCCTCCTGAGATACAGCAGGTAGTGGATCAGTATGCTGATCTGATGCAGGAGCCCTTTGGGTTACCCAACCGGCCAACCAAGCATCACGTCGAGCTGCTGCCTGGAGCGGTTCCTCCTAAGGGTCGCGTCTACAGGATGTCCTTGCTGAGCTTGAGGAGCTCAGAAAGCAGCTTGAGACCCTGACCAGCAAGGGCTGGATCAGACCCAGCACATCTGAGTTCGATGCACCTCTTCTCTTTGTACCCAAAGGGAACGGCGAGTTCAGGATGTGCATGGACTACAGGGGCCTCAACAAGATTACAAGGAAGAGTACTGAACCACTTCCTAGGATCGATGACCTCCTGGATATGGTGCAAGGCTGCACAGTGTTCAGCAAAGTCGACCTCAAGTTTGGCTACCACCAGATTGAGATGGCAGAGGAGGATGTCTACAAGACAGCCTTCAAGACCAGGTATGGGACTTACGAGTTCCTGGTTATGCCATTTAGACTTCGCAGTGCCCCAGGCGCATTCCAGACAGAGATGCACCGCATCTTCAAGCCTTACCTGGACAAGTTTATGGTTGTCTACCTGGATGATATCCTGGTATTCAGCAAAACTGCCAGGGAACATACGGGGCACTTGGCTCTAGTTCTTCAGTCGTTACGCGACAGCCAGTACAAGATCAACAAAGAGAAGTCCTCTTTTGGAGTTCCCTCTGTCATCTATCTGGGTCACGTAATCTCTGGAGATGGCCTGGCTCCTGAAGCAGCCAAGATTGTTGCTATTCAGGAGTGGCCCCAGCCACAGACAGTGAGGGATGTCCGGTCCTTCATGGGTTTGGCCTCCTACTACAGAAAGTTTGTCCGGAACTTTTCTGCAGTGGCCGCACCCCTGACCAACCTAACAAAGAAGGACACTCCCTTTCTTTGGTCCCTCCACTGTCAGCTGGCCTTCACACGACTCAAGAAGGCCTTGACTCGTGCGCCTGTCCTGAAGTTACCTGACCCCACTCTGCCATTTATCCTGACCACTGACGCCAGTCAGTATGGCATTGGGGCAGTACTTCAGCAGGATGATGGGAATGGTCTACGACTTGTAGAGTTTATGAGTAAGAAGATCAAGACTCAAAAGCTCCAGGACTCTACCTACGAGAAAGAGTTGTATGCTCTTGTCTGTGCCTTGAAACATTGGAAGCACTTTCTCATGGGCAGGCACTTCAAGATCTTTTCAAATCACTCCACCCTACAGTGGATGAAGTCCCAGGGAGAGTTGAACGATAAACTGGCACGGTACATTCAGTTCATAGACATGTTTGACTTTGAACTGAAACACAAGAAGGGCTGCTACAACAAAGTGGCAAATGCCCTCTCTCGTAGGCCTGACTCTTTTGCTCTGATCTCCTCTACTCACTCCTTTGGAGAGGAGACTCGTCAGACCATTGCTCGTCTACTGCCTCAGAACGAGACTTTTTGACCCATTGTCAGGAATTTGCAAGCAGATCCTAACTCTGAACCAGGCTATGTTCTGAGTTCAGACTTGCTGTACACCTACAACAGAGGTGAGGAGCGCTTGTGCATTCCCCAGGACCAGCGGCTCAGGACACTGCTGCTATCAGAGTGTCATGATGCCCGTGGACACTTCGGGTTCCTAAAGTCTTATGCAGCCCTGTCGCAGCGCTTCTTCTGGAAGGAGATGCGGAGTGAGATGCTGCGTTATGTGGACACCTGTGAGCTCTGCCAAAGGAACAAGGTTCAACGTAAACCTCCTTTGGGACTGCTCAAACCCTTACCCATACTTGATGGCCCTGCCCAATCTGTGTCGATAGACTTCACAGATCTAGGCAAGATCACCCCTCGTGGCATGCGTCAGGTTATGGTCTGCGTGGACAGGTTCTCCGAATACGCAGAGTTCATCCCCTTGCCAGAGGTAGCTAGGGTACCGGCTGTGAGAGCAGCCTTCTCTGAGAGGTGGGTCACACACCATGGACCGCCCACCTCTATCGTCAGTGATCGTGACCCCAGATTTTGCAGCGATGAGTGGCAGTCCTACTGCAAGGACTATTTGCACTCACGTCTGGACATGACCTCTAGTCATCATCCTGAAGCCAATGGATTGGCTGAGGTGATGAACCAAGTCTTGTTCCAGCTGCTGCATCCTGTCATCTCTCCAAATCAACAGGAGTGGGATCTTCACTTAGCGAGGGCACAGCTCATGTATAACATGTCTGTCCACTCCTCGACAGGGTTCAGTCCCTACCGGTTACACTGGGGACGTGAACCGCGCCAGCCTCTCGATGATATCATCGACAAGGCTAAGCCTGATCTGACGCCAGGCACCGCAGAGTTCGCCAGACGCTATCGTCTGGATGTGGAAAGAGCCCGGGTGAACTTGTTCAAGGCCCAAAAGGCCATGATTGAACAAGCCAATCGCCACAGGCGGCCTTCCCCCATTCGTACTGGTGATCATGTCTGGGTGGCCAGTTCTGAGCTGTCGAGGGAGGAGGATATCTCCCCGAAGCTGCTGCCGCGCTACTTGGGTCCGTGGCAGGTCTTAGATACAATGGGCATTGACCCTTTCAGCCCGTCGTATGTTATCGACGTCCCGCTGCATCTACCCACCTATCCGGTCTTCCATGCATCCAAGCTGCTGCCTTTCACACCTGCTGATGCATTCCCTGACCGGCCCCCTCAATGGGGCCCACCAATCCCTGGTAAGGGATATGATGTGGTGGCCATTGAGGATGAGTGGGGCACAGGCCCCAACCGGCAGTATCTTGTCAGGTTCGCTTTCCAGCCCCCTTCTGAGAACCGGTGGTTCTACAGAAGAGAGCCTGAGCAAGACAACAAAGTCTGTTGTACTGCGCTATGAGGCGGCTCGAAAGGGTGACCTTCGCCGTTCGCCTCGTTTGGAGCAATGACTTGCTGATTTCTGCTGCCGAAATTAACAGCGAGGCTTTACACTGACCCGGTAGGTTAGATTCGTAATTTTGTTTGGCTGAGGGCTAACCGAGAGACCTGCCTGTAGGGAAATTCTTGAGGGACAGATCTGTAAATGTGGGAAAATATAGGCCCAGTACTAACCTGAATTCCTAAGCTACCCTAACTGTTGATAGCAGGCCCGGGCTACCCCTAGGACAGACAGGCCATAAGCGGCCTATGCTGCTAGACGGTCCTATAGCCTATAGCCGGGTCCGGTAGAGGCCGAGAGGCCGAAATAGCAACGGTACCGGTCGGTCAGTCAGTCCGGTCTAAGTCCTAGTAGTCTATAGATAGGTTAGGCCCATCGGTTCAGGACTTTTGGCAGTTCATTTCTCGCGAACAGCGTTGGAGAAGCCAAGCAAGTTGGTGGCGGTACCTGTCTACCGGCGGCATCCTGAGACAGACC